TATTTGTACTCAGCCACGATGCGAAACACTGCGTAAAGTAGAGCGGAGTGCAGAGGTTCCAATGCTTTGCTGATTTCATAAGGTTTCAAATTTACGCTGGCATTAATATCAGCACAAAAATTTGTGGTGGGAGCTTCATGGAATGGGTTTCCATGGCCGAGCAGCTGCATGCAAGCAAGCACATCACCAAGTACAATGCCAAGTGTTGGCTGGATTGGTGTAAAGCCCACCGCCACTGGACTCCGGAGCAGTGGAAATGTTTTCTGTGCAGTGACAAATCATGCTTCTCTGTTTGGCAGAAGCCAGGAGAATGTTACCTGCCTGACTGCATTGCCAACTGTAAAGTTTGGTAGAGGGCGGAAAATAGTATGGGGCTGTTTTTCAGAGATTGAGTTTGGTTGCTTACTGCCAGTGAAGGGAAATCTTAATTATTCAGCATACCAAGACATTTTGGACAATGCCGTGCTTCCATCTTTGTGGGAGTTTCTATTCCAGCATGACACTTTCATTCATGACGTGTCTCTTTCATGCCTCTGTACAGAACTCCAATGAACCCACCCACAGAAACCTCAACCAAGCACTACAGGTACAGTTTCACCTCTGACCTAACATTTAGCATTCCGTGAATGTATTAAACAGGAATTCTGGAGCTGCAGACTGCAGTGCTAACAGTCTGTCTTTCTCTCCTCAGTTCATTCATCTTCAGCAGGCTCTGGCTTCTCGAAACTTCACCTATACAACCAAGAGTGTTCCTTCAGCAACTTCATTACCCGTAAAACAAGGCAATGCCGAACGTTCTGCTGCTTGGGGCACTTACAACAACTCCAACATCACATTTCGGCTGGAGCAACCCAATGCGGTTTTCTCAGTTCCAAAAACAAACACATAACCCGATCCCCCTCTCCTCAGAAAACATAGTTTGTGTTGGATTTGATATAAGTAAGCCGCTCTCAATATCACCAATATGAATGTAGTTTTAACATTAGAGCACTGAATGGACTCACAAGATGACACTTAGGCACACAGGTTTTGAGACCTCAAAGCAAACTGTGCTGTTGTCAGAATTCCTACCACATGTGTAACTTAAATTTGAACCTTAAAGCAACACCAATTCCTTACAATACTGAACGGTGTGTCTGAGACCTTCAGGCGTTTCTAGCTACCTCAAAACCAGTGGGAGTATGAAGAAAAGTCCTCAGCACAAGTATGCTTTTGGATTGGATACAAACAATGGAGGTTCGGTAGCCTGTGTTGTTGCGAATACATTGTTTAAATATTAAAAAAATAATAAGTTAGTGTAAAATTCCAACGCTCAAGCTGTGTTATGACATGTGAGCACTCTTCTCTGTTCAACTGCTTTGTATTTGTAATAAAATAATAGAAATAAAGAAATCAAAAACACTTACTGTGTCCTGCGGGTGCGCTGTTTGTCTTATTTTACTTCATTACTATGGACTCGTCTCTCCAGTCACAGATTGTCCAGAGATAGAGAGACGTGCGCCGGTCTCCACGGTCATGGTGATGCTTGTGCCTGCGTGTCTCCGGCGCTGCGAGCGGCTTCTCTACTGGATCCCGGTTACGATCATTATCATGTTTGTGATGTGGTCATACTACGCATATGTCGTGCACTTCTGCTGGAGTGAGTAATATTTTTTGCAAAGTCTTTGACTTTAGGAGTTAAGTGACGCAGATTTCGTAATATAAAAAAAACTACAGGTGATATCAAAATGTAGATGTTTTGTTTGTCTGCTACTCTATGTTTTTCAACTTTAATACAAAACAACTGTATTTGCTACAGATTAAGGCAGTTTTGAAATCCTCAAGTATCACTTATCTGTAATTTCATGTCAGTCACAAATTACTCCATTGCTGATGTTTTTTTTTTTATTTAAATGATGGACATTCATTTTGTATATGTACTTAAACTTGTTCAAAATTAATTATGCCATCCACCATCACCAACCCAATCCCTAATAATGTTGGTGCAAAAAGCTAAACCAATTTTGATTCGAAACATTACAGTTCCAAACAAATATAGAAATACATAACTCGGTAGTCACTCGCGTAACTGAAAAATTAAGCCTGTACACTGGTCTATTTTGTGCAATATTTGTGGGTTTAGTAGAAGTGCATTGTTGTTATTAAACAGATAAGTGATTTCATCCCGGTAGCACATTTCTTATTGGTTAAAATGATGTTGCACTCCCCGATCTCCTCTTTGGTTTGGAAAGTCATTGAGCATTAGTTATTTTTCTGAATATTTATAATTCATAAAAAGTTTGTAATAGGCTATATATTATCAGATGTTATAAATGACTGCGTTGACTCTTGTTCATATTTGTGACAGTCCTGCTCACCTGTGCGATGCAGAGAGGTATGAAATCTGTTTTTCTAGATATTCATTGTATGAAAATATGCATTTCTGATGTTTGAATGAACAAAATTTACATTTGCTCCCGGTTATTTTGATTGATAATTGTATGTATTCTCTCTCAGTGGTGTTCCTTTGCCTGTTACACGTGTGTTTTGGAATGTTCTCGTAGTCATTTTGGAAAACACTGTCCACTCCACCATCTTCTCCTTCTGTGGAGGTACAGGAGCATCATAAAGTGATGGTTCTTTACCAAAAAGTAAGTTCCTTTTCTGGACTTGACACACATGGCTTTTGTACATGGTACGATAGTAACGCCATGTATTTTGTACCATGGAATAACTATTCTTTGAAGCACCTAACTTGGAGTACCACATAAACAATGTGTGATAGTATGACTATCTGGTACCACAACTACAGGGCTGTAACCACCATAGAAATTGAGAGGGATGAGGTCACCTCCTACCCCCAAATACTCCGATATAGCCAAAATTTCCCCACCAATATTTGATATTCTTCACTCTCAGAAAAAAAGGTACAAAAGCTGTCACTGAGGCAATACCTTTTCAAAAGGTACATCTTTGTACCTTATTTACCCCTAAAAGGTGCATATTTGTACCTGAAGTGTACATATCAGCATCTTTACGGTACATAGTACCTTTTTGAAAGGGTACTGTATTAGTGACAGCTTTTATACTTTTTCTGAGAGTGTTGAGTTGATGCTGCTCTGTTGCACTTCATTACGCACCGTTCTGTTTGTTGTTAGGATGACAAAATGTTTAAGCTTTTTGTTGAGGCTTGGTGGTCTAGTAATGCTTGTCAATGTCAAAATGATTAAGATGGCCAATCAAATCAAAGAAGACAGGGTTTACTGTCCACAGAAACCGAACATGAATTACAGTTCTACACATTGTAAAAAAGTTGTGAGGTATTTGTAATAGCTAAACATATCATATTTGAGCTGTTTTACAATAGAAATGTAAGTGACAGATAATATTAATATTCAGTTATTCAGACTACTTTTATGTCAGATCTCACTGTTTTGAATTGAAAATAGAGTATAATTATAATTTATTTATTTATTATAATATAATTATTAAATGAACGTAATTGAAATGTTATCCTTTTTATGAACATTAGGTGTAAGAGAAAGAAGGAATGTAAATGCAAATAATTCAGATAGATTACAATAAATTCTAGTTCTTTTGCGATTTCTTTATTCCTATAAATCCCTTAAAATCCTTTAATTGGATTATTTCTTTCAATGAAATACCCCCCACACAAAAAAAAATTGGTTTGGTCCTCCCTAATGTTCCTAATGTTTGACATGGTTACGGCCTTGCATCTCTGTACCGTAGTAAATCACAGTACTTTTTGGCTAGGGGAATTTAAACTGCTCCTCAGTTGTGCTGGCTTCACCCCAACAGAAGCGATAAGTAGACTTGGGCTCTTACGGGGGTCAGGCCGTCCACCTGCAAGTTATTCAAGTCAGGCATGTCATACGTGACAAATGAGCATAAAAGAAACCCCTCTCCCTCTCAGAGCACCGCAGTCTAATTTACTAATTGTATGTGTGTGCGGATTACTGTGTTCAGTTTCAGCTCTCCTCTTCAGACTCACTGCTCTATGAGCAAGAACGTGGCGGTATGGAGAAGAGTCAGATTCTTCTGGAAATCTTCCGGAAGCTTCCAGTCACCTTCCGTACAGCAGCTGGAGGTCAGGAAACCCTTCGGCACTATAACATATAAAAACAACAGTGTGAAGTATAAATAACATCTCAAAACATAACTGGATCCTGTCCAATGTAACTCGATTCACACTGAACCTGTAAACATTAACCTGCTCTATCAGCACCATGTAATTGAGGGAGGACACTGAACTCTGATTACTCCAGAGACACTGAATCTGCAATTAGTGCATTTTTAATGGCTTTCAGTGAAAAGCATCTGCACCATGTTAGAAGGTTTCCCTGCATCAGTGCTTTGTAACACAGGTGAATCTGTGATGCCAGTACTGAATATTTAGCACTATGGCAAAATAAATTATATTTTAGGTCTATGCTTTTTAGTAAATCAAAAACATGCAGTCCGATCAGTGTAGCCCGTTTCCCAAAATTAATGACTCTTATTGAGTATTTCAAAGAGACGAGTTACCGTTTGAGTCAATATCAAACACTGTCTCAATTTTCAGCATTAGCAAAGAAAGAATTTTTCCCATATGTACACAAAAAGGAGATTATAGCTGAAATACACCCAAATGTATTGGAACCAGATTGAATTGTGAAATCTGTATTGATACCCAGCCCTGCAACAAAATAAAATTAATTATTTGCTGAAAATCAGTCAAAAATAATGGTTAAAGGCCACCGTCTTGTAACTGACCACAACACTTCAAAAACATTGTGTGAAGAATGCAAGTTAGTCTGGTTTAGTACAACTTGAGAAGAAAATGATGACAGAATTTCTTTTTCTTTTTTTTCAGTTAATACAGTGTAAACAACTTGACAAGTGATCAATTCAATAACACCAGTGTGTCAATAACAAACAAAACCAACAAACAAGATAAGAAAAAAAAGTGAATAAGAAATTAACTGAATAATAAATGTATTTTAGATATAGATCAGCATGTGCTAACAGTAATAGTAAGGATAACAATGGTTTTGAGTAAACTAATCATTTTAGTCCATACTACATAACTATTTTACAAATGACGAAAGTGTTTTACCTGAATGGCCAGTAGACTTCCTTTTTTAAAAGCAATGGGATTTTTTGGGGGGTCTAAGGACTAAAGCACCTACTGTAGTCGTACTGATTTTCTTATTATTTGGTAAGTGATCCATTTATAAGTTTTGAAGCCATTTCATAAATCAAGACATAATTTATAGTGACTTTAAATCACTTAGACAAATGTTGAAACATCATACATTTCTGTTAACTAATCTATCTGTTAATATAAGATATTCTATGATGAACAACATGAACGAAAACATGTAACCGTCTGTTATTAAAGTGGGATTCCATTTACCTAAATGTTGGAGAAAATGTTATTTGTTTATCTGCTTGTTTGTGTGTGTGTTCATCTCAGCTATCAGGTTCTGTCATCACTGCCAATTGATCAAACCAGATCGCTGCCATCACTGTTCTGTCTGCCAAATGTAAGAATCACGCTCTCTCGTCTTTCTCTCCCCTCCCTCTCTCCATTTCTGTGTGCGTATCAGTGCATCTCCCACTCATCTACGCACTCTTCCCTTAATGAAAGGGAGACGTAGAAATGTGATCTGTGGGTGAGTGTGTGTGTGTGTGATAATTACAGGATGTTGTTGAAGTGCTTGGTCACATTTATTTGAGTGGACACAGTGAATCTTGTCAAATGAGTTTTGCTCTGTGTCAATATCAGGTTCCCATCCTTCAATTAAAGTCCATGTCTGAGTGTGTGAGAGAGAGTGAGTGAGATGGAGAAAAAGAATGACTAGGTGTGTTTGTGGAGGTTTTGAATGCGTGTGTCTGATTACACTTTTTTTTTATTATTAGTCAATGAGAATTGTTTCTGTGGCCTGTGCACTTCACTCCTGCGTCTGTCTCTTTCTTTTTTTCTATAGGTGTGTACTAAAGATGGATCATCATTGCCCATGGTTTGTAAACTGGCTGTTGAAATACAAATTGACCCTGCTTACTTTCTAAATGCATATTTCCAGTTAATGTGAACAGCTTATTGGTGCATTTTATTCCAAGGAAAGAATATTTGTAAGTTTGTAATGTTTAATCTAAGTATAATAACTTCCTTTAAAGGAGTAGATTACCCAAAAATGAAAATTTGCTGAAAAGTTACCCACCCTCAGGTCATCCAAGGTGTAGAGTTCTTCATTGGAACAGATTTGGAGA